ATTAGACATGAGTATATAACGAGAGTACGTAAAATTCTGCAAACCTCAACTCACGTCTAGAAACAAGATAACAGCAATTGGAGCTCTTGCCATACCAATCATGCAGTACAGCTTTGGTATAATCAATTGACATTGGATGACATAAGACAAATGGATCGCAAAACAAGAAACTAATGACAACACATAATATCCTTCATCCAAAGCAGACATCGATAGATTATACGTGCCACGAAAGAAAGGGGGACAGGACTAAAGCAAATAGAAGAAACGTACAACAATACTATCTTCTCAGTAGGGCAGTATATTCAAACCAGATCTAAGCAAGACCGCCTACTACAGATGTTACTAGCACATGACAATAGGAAACCAACAAATAGATCTATTATAAAGCGTAGTAATAAGATCAAATTAGAAGCTGCGGAAACCGGACATACGGTCGAGCGAGGTAACAGGTCCATCAAACTGTACCTGAAGCAATGTGTCGAAGAGAAATGGCGGAGTAAGCCTCTACACGGACAGCATATCCTTCAAATGGAGGAGCTTCCGGTTGACTTAAGACTGTCATTTGGATGGTTACAATACGGAGATTTAAAGGGAAAACCGAAAGCTTGCTGGTGGCAGCACAAGACCAAGCCTTGAAAACGCGTTATATTGAGCAAGCAATACACAAGACGAGGAATGACGGTAAATGCAGATTGTGTCACATTCATAATGAAACTGTTGAACATATAATATCTGCATGTCCAATACTAGCGCCAAAAGAATACACTGACAGGCACAATAATGTCTGCGCAGCCATCCACCTAGAAGCGTCTCGCCACCTTGGTTGTCCAATAAAATCGACGAAATGGTATGAGCATCAACCCGACAGAATAACACAAAGTGAAGATGGTAGTATCACAATAATGTATGACCATCCCGTTATCACGGATAGAGAAATAAAAGCAAACAGACCAGATATTGTTATAAAACCACCGAAATGTGCTATATAATTGATATATCGGTACCCTGCAGATAGACATGTCATACAAAAGGAGGCTGAAAAGCAACTAAAATACAAATCATTACTCATAGAAGTGCAAAGAATGTGGCATACAAAGGCAGTTGTTATTCCCGTAGTGATTGGTTCAACTGGATATGTCACTCGCAACATACTAGATAACCTAAAAAGGATACCAGGAGATCATAATTTCTATCAGTTACAGAAGATCGCCTTATTAGGCACATCGCACATAATTAGGAAAGTTATAACATAACCAGCTCATAAACTACAAAGATCTGTACCCCTCAGGTCCTCGGCGAGGACCCGGTGTATAGAGGTCAAACCGCCTCCATATAAGATACGCTACAATAGACAACGGTCCTGTAGCGTGAAAAAAAAATGAAATAATAATAATGATAATAATAATAATAATTATTATATTATAATACTAAATAATACTAATAATAATAATAGTAATAGTAATAATAATAATAATTATAAAATAATAATTACAATAATTATAATAATAATAATAATAATTATAATAGTAATAATTACATAATTATAATAATAATAATAATCATATAATAATAATAATATAATTACAATAATAATAACAATAATAATAATATAACTCCCGTGTGGAGTTGCTAGTCTCCCTCGGGCGCCTCCCTGTGCGAATTGGGAAACGCTCCAGATATGGAGGGTACGAATAATAATAATTATAAATAATAATTACAATAATTATAATAATAATAATAATAATAATTATCATAATAATAATTAATAATAATTTATATAATAATAATAATTATAAATAATAATTACAATAATTATAATATAATATTAATAATACAATAATTATAATAAAAATAATAATAATAATAATTTGTAATAATAATTATAATAATAATAATAATTACATAATTATAATATATTTAATAATAATATAAGAATAATAATAATAATAATTACATATTATAATTATAATAATATAATAAATAATAAAGGGGTCTGGCCGGTAAGGGGACTGCCGCCAGCAGTTTCAAACCCGCTACCGTAACGACGTAGACGGTACAGCCAGCAACGCAACGTCTGGCCTCGACCAAGTGGTTGAGCTACTGTTATTAACACCGAAGGAAAGTCAGTACGGCCAGCACACCTCCTGTTCATCCAGGCGTGGTTTTTGTCTCTCTTCCACGCCTGAGTTTAACACTTTTAGGTAAACAATTATACCTACCTATCAAAAGAGAACCACAATTACCCAGAAATGGAGAAAAAAACAAAATGAAGCCTCGGAATGTAACGACGTAATCGGGACTCGACGCTATGCGACGAGGTCCGCGTCCGGCAGGGAGCGTAGGGGAAGGTCACCCGGTCGTCATCCAGCGAAAGCCCCCCACAGATAGTGTGAGAAGTAACTCGAATGACCCCATCCAACAGCTTCCTGGGGTCGAAGATGGCAATCATGTTGCTGGAAGCCAAGAGCCCCAGCCCATAATGCCAGACAATAGGAGGAGAAAAAGAACCACGTGGACCACTGAAATGAACAGATTGTGGTTCGCTCCTACTACAGAATCACTAAACTAGAAACATCTACAGAGCCCTATGGTACTGAACTACACAAACAAGTTATCATGAACTTCCCTCACCTGCAAGGCAAAACTGTGCAAAACGTACTAGACCAGCGCCGATCCGTATTCATAAACAACAGATTGCCGGCAGAGAATAAACAAAGAGAAGAGATATCCATAGAATTAGGAATGCAGGTACAAGCTCCACAAGAGCACACAGAAAACCAAGAACAAATTGAGAAACGACGGCAACCTCTAAATACGCAGATGAGTTCAGGGGCTTGTTCATGAAGTATGATGGTGTGGAACCAACTCTTAAACCAAGCCTACCAAAGCTAATAATAAAACCCCATACATCTGAGTATATCGCTGAAGTTAACAAAGTAATAGATAACGAGATTACAGAAGATACAACCTTGACTGAGCTCCATAGCCTGTTGTACATTGGAGCACTTACAGTCCTAAAATTAAATGAACAGAGAGTTGGCGAACAATGTGTAAGGAAAAAAAAAAACTGCCAGCCTGGGAGATGAGGATATCGCGTAATATAGAGGAGATTAGAAAGGACATAGCAATACTCACCCAGTACCGCAGGTCTGATGTAGTCTGAGAGTAAAGAGATCCGCAGAGAATGTGATAAACCGTCACTGCTCGGAGGAGAACCCAACAGCCGTAGAAGTCTTGGACTACCTGAAGCAAAAACTAGCAGCTACAGCACTGCGACTTCGAAGGTACAAGAAAAGCAACGAACGCGCGGAAACAAAATCGAGCATTCGAGACCAATCAGCGAGGCTTTTACAGGAACTTGCAGGCGCGACGGAGGATACAGATCAGAACAACGTTCAGATTCCTACCTCAGATGCCATCAATACCTTCTGGTCAGGAATTTGGAGCAATCCAATCAATCATTCCACATCTAAATGGTACCGCCAAGAGAAAGCAAATAATTCAACTTTTAGGACCATGCTCGACTGGAAAGTAAGCTTAGATGACGTGGTAAATACTCTACGAAAATTACCAAACTGGAAAGCCCCAGGATCAGATAAGCTTCAGAATTATTGGCTAAAAACGTTCACTTCGCTCACGATCGACTCGCAAAGTGTTACACCTCAATCTTAGAGCAACCAGATATGTTGCCAGAGTTCTTAACAATGGGAATAACATATTTAATCCCAAAGTGCGGCGATCACTCGAACGATCCGGCAAAATACCGACCAATCACCTGTCTGCCGACTATTTACAAGGTATTGACTGCTATAATTACTGAAAAGATATATTCACACCTAGAGCGGAATACTATACTAGACGAAGAGCAAAAAGGTTGCCGAAAAGGGTCTCGAGGCTGTAAAGAGCAACTTGTTATAGACTCTGTCATAACTAATTATGCCAAAAGAAAAAAATACCCCTGTACATTGCATACATCGATTATCAGAAAGCGTTTGACAGTATACCTCACTCTTGGCTGTTAGAGGTGCTTGACCTTTATGGGATCGAGTGCCACATCAAACAATTTCTGGCACATGCTATGGCGAATTGGAAGACACGGCTCTATCTCAACACCCAAGATACGCAATTAGTGCCGGAGAGGTATCCATCAAGAGAGGAATATTTCAAGGAGACTCTTTAAGTCCGCTATGGTTCTGCTTAGCGCTTAGACCGTTAACAACAATGCTAAATAGCCAAAAGAAAGGAATACTGTTAGGTGGCAATGAAACACGCATTTCACATCTTTGGTACATGGATGACCTCAAACTTTTGCAGAAACCAAAGAACATCTTCATAAGCTTCTGGACTGTGTAAGTAAATTCAGCACTGACATCAAGATGCTGTTTGGCTTAGACAAGTGCAAGATCAGTTGCATGGTAAAAGGCCAATGGAGTAAACATTCAGGATATGAGCCGAACCAAGTGCAAGGGAAAATTGAAGGAATGCAGCAAGATGACAGTATAAATACTTAGGCTATCTACAAGCGCCGGGCATAGACCAGAAAGCTGCAAAAAAAAGGCAATGGAGCACTATAGAACACGTTTGAGGGCGGTGCTGAAAACAAGTTGTCAGCTCGTAATACAGCACTTGCTGTCAGCACCTACGCTACTTCGGTCCTTACCTATACGTTTGGCATACTGAACTGGACGGATACAGAACTGAACGCACTTAATGTGGAAACCAGAAAAGAATTCCGTAAACACCGGGGACACCACCCACATAGTTCCATAGAGCGGTTCCATCTACCACGAAGTGAGGGTGGCAGAGGAATACCTTGCATACCTACACTACATCACCGCCAAGTGGACAATCTACGCCAGTACTTCCTCCAAAAAGCCACATCCAGCAGAATGCATCAAGCAAAACACAGACGGATAAAAAGTTGACACCACTAAACCTTTCAGAAAATCTTTCGACCCTGAGGCAAAGATAACCCCAATGCAGGATCTGGTTCGCCAATGGAAAGCCCAAACCACAACGCCATTGACACAAAGGCTTCCCAAGGATGGTTGCAGTCAGGTAATCTGTTCCTGGAGACGGAGGGCTTCATAGCCTCCATCCAGGATCAGGTAGTCCCAACAAAGTTGTACCGAAAGCGTATAATGCATGAGAACGTTGACGATATCAGATGCCGCATATGTGGGGAAAAAGATGAGCACATAGATCATATTGTAGCAGGTGCTCTCCCTTAGCTCCTAAACAATATCTTGAAAGGCACAATGATGTGGCCAAAATACTTTATCAAGCTTTGGCTAAAAAACATCTAGGAGAAACTGGTACACAGCCCTACTATAAATACACGCCGCCACCTGTGATAGAAACGGAGACCTCTAGGCTGTACTGGAACCAAAATCATAACTGACAGGCCCATCCCCAACAATATTCCTGACATAGTGCTCACACTAAAAGAAGAAAGAACGACGTTTATAATAGACATAGCTGTGCCTCTTCCTACTAATATCCAAACCACCCATGCGGAAAAATCAATAAGTATTTGCCACTCTCCGACGAAATCAAACGCATGTGGGAAATGGGCAATGTGTCTGTAATACCAGTTATAATAGGAGCTACTGGAGAGATACCAAGGAAACTACACAAGAGTCTGGAAAAGCTACAGCTCCATCCAAAAATATACTTGCAGTTGCAGCAAGCTGCACTCTGGGAACATGTAGGACAGTACGTCGGGTTTTAGGAGATGAGAACCGGATACGGTGAAAAAACCGCTGCAGATCTATTTCCTTACTTTGGCGGTAGCCTGAGGGAAATATTAATACCTTCGACAGAGAGAGTAAAATAGTATAAAATAAAATAATAATATTATAGTATAATAATAAAAATAATAATAATAATAACAAAATAAATAATAAAATAATAATAATAATAGTAAATGTAATATAATAAGAAATAATAATAAAATAATAATAATAATAATTATAATAGTAATTACAATAATATAATAATATAATAATAATAATTATAATAGTATAATACAATAATAATAATAATAATAATAATATATAATAATAATAATAATAATAATAATTATAATAGTAATAATTACAATATTATAATATAATAATCATAATATTAATAATAATAGTAATTATAATAATTATAAAATAATAATAATAATAATAATAATATAATAATAATATAAATATATAATAATATAATAATAATATAATAATAATAATATAATTATAATAATAATAATAATAAATAATAATAATAATAATAATAATAATAATAATATAATAATAATAACTCCCGGTGGAGTGCTAGTCTCCCATCGGGCGCCTCCCTGTGCGAATTGGGAAACGTTCTCCAGATATGGAGGGTACCGGGAAAATAAAATACCCGGGGTGGACAAAAAACTAACACCACCGCTCTATGGGTTAGCACCCCCTAGAACGTGTATATTTAAATGCTCTTAAAACGAGAAATAAGAGATACTCAGGCGGGCCGGCGCAGCAGGAGCCGGGTCGGAACCGTCTTGAAGATTTACCTGCAACCTACCGCGGCAATGAACAAGGACCAACCAGATTACCAACCCAGACGAGTACACCACCACCAAAGGTACCAAGCCAAGATGTCGGTGTTGCTGGGCCATCAGAGCCCATGCCCACCACGTCACAAGTTAGGCAAAGAACCATGTGGACAGAAGAAATCAATGCATTCATGGTTCGCTGCTATTACAGATTAACCCGACTAGAAACCGCCAAAACTCCATACAGCCGCGAAGTACATAGACTGGTAACTGAAAAATTTCCAATGCTTCGTCACAAGACTATACAAAATATCATAGACCAGCGAAGATCTATATTTATAAATAGACGCCTATCTCCAGGTATTGTTACACAAATAAGGCGCGAAGTTGCGATAGAACTATCTATAAATGTACCTGCTGATCTCCCCAATGCTGATGATGAACCAGCGGCCCCAGTACCGGAAGCCAACAGATCACCATCTGCTGCTGAGCTGGTATTCGAAAGGATTCATTTGCTTTATGATGGAATGGACCCTATGGTGAAACCTAGCCTTCCAAAATAATTTATAATAACAAGGCAAAATCTATATTGGGTGAAATCAACAAAATTCTGGATTCCAAAATAACAACTGATATACCCATCGAAATCTGCACAGCCTTATTTATAGTGGAGCAGCAGCGGTGCTAACACTAAACAAGCAGAAAATCTCCACGGACACTCAAGTTAAAAATGTTCCAGTAACGCCAGCATGGCAGCGCCGAATTACTAATAAAATCGATAGTATCAGGGGGGACATAGGAATTCTGACACAAAATCAAGCTTGAACCCAGCAGCTCAGTCACTAAGAAAGCCAAAGCCATTCTTGAAAGGGAGAAGAAAGCCTCGAAAATCCAACAGCAACAGAAATACTGGATCACCTTAAACAAAAACTCAAGGCTATGGCTAAAAAAACTCCGACGGTATAAGGAAAGCAACATAAGACGTCAACACAATAGTCAGTTTAGCAGGAGTGAAGGAGCTTTTATAAAAATTTAGAGTCTGAAGATCACGAGATTGAAACCCTGCAAGAAAATAAGGTCCCCACACCAGACGCCATGAAAACGTTTTGGGAAAAAAACCTGGGGAAACCATGTGATTCACAACAATAATAATATAATAATAATACATAATAATATAATAATAATAATAATAATAATAATATATAATAATATAATAATAATAATAATAGTAATAAATAATAATAATTGTAATAATATATAATAATTATAACAATAATAATAATATAATAATAATAATAATTACAATAATTCAGATGGCTGTCTGACGAGAAGAGGTGTACATCTAACCTACAGACAATGTTGGAATGGGAAGTAACAACCGACCAAGTATCCAAGGCTATAAACAAGACCTTGAATTGGAAGGCACCTGGACAGGATAAAATCCAAAATTTCTGGTATAAAGAATTCAAGGTCATTCATCAACATCTAGCCAAATGTTATACTCACCTGCTGTCCAACCCTGAAGACACTACCACCATTCAGTGGTATCACTTATTTGTTACCAAAAACGAAGGTGTCCTCAGAAGATCCATCCAAATATAGGCCGATCACCTGCCTTCCTACAATATAAAATATTCACGTCCATCCTATCGGCAAAGATATACAGCCACCTGGAAAGAAATAACCTGTTGGACGAAGAGCAGAAGGGTTGTCGAAAAGGATCCAGAGGGTGTAAAGAACAATTAAAATAGATACGGTCATCACATCTCACGCGAAACGCTCAAAACGCTCTTTGCACCAGCGTATATAGACTATCAAAAAGCGTTTGACAGTGTTCCTCACTCCTGGCTATCCGAGGTGCTGCAGCTTTATAAAGTCGAGGCCCATGTACTGAATTTACTGAACTACGCCTGTCTCAGTGGAAAATCAGAATTGTCTTAAACACCAACCAAAAAAAGTGTAGATGCAGGTACCATTAAAATAAAAATGAAATATTCCAAGGGACGCATTAAGTCCGCTATGGTTCTGTCTGTCGCTGCGACCCCTGACAACTATGTTGAATAGGCAGCGCAAAGGTTATTACTGCCACACTCAGACAAGAATATTAGCCACCTTTGGTACATGGATGATTTAAAGCTGTATGCAAAGTCTAAAAAACACCTTGACGCGGGATATGAAGTTGCTGAGCGGCAAACCATCGCCGGAATGGAAGAGGGGAGAAAGGTAAGGTACAAATATCTTGGATATCTGCAAGCAAGAGGTCTAGATCATACAGCAGCAAAGCAGACAGTAAGTGACACCTACATTAAAAGAATCCGGTCGATACTGAAGACTAAGCTGTCTGCCAGGAACATGGCAAAAGCAGTTAACACCTATGCCACATCTGCAGTTTCTTATCGATTGGAGTGATTCACTGGACAGCAACCGAACAACAAAACCATCAATATCAAAAACCAGAAAAAAGTTCAGCAAATTTCGAGCACATCATTCACGTTCATCATTGGAAAGGTTCCACCTGCCTAGAAAGTTGGGTGGAAGAGGTATACCTGATCTAGTTATTAACCACAACAGGCAAGTAACAAACCTAGGAACTACTTCCTCGCCAGTGCTGCGTCCAGTGAGATTCACCACGCTATCATAAGGGCGGACAATAAGCTACTCCTTTAAGACTGGCAGACCAAAACTTCGGCTTAGCGTGGACCAGCTCATACCCGAGCAACAACGCAGGCAGCAATGGAAGAATAAGGCACTTCATGGTAAATACCGCACCCTACTCGAGAGCGATAAGATCGATACCTTCGCATCCACGGCCTACCTCCGCTCTGGAAACCTGTTTGCTGAGACAGAAGTGTTCATATCTGCTATCCAAGATCAGGTCATCGCAACTAAAGTAATAAAAGAACATAATGCGGGAACGACAAGACAATATCACATGTCGTGTGTGCGGTGGAAAAGGAATGAATACCTGGACCACATCATCGCTGGCTGCTCAATGTTGGCACCGAAATCCTACCTAGACAGGCACAAAAGAGTCGGAAAGATAATCCACCAAAGCCTTCGTGAAAAGTACATGGGGTTGACAGAAATAGTGCCGTACTATTTATACGAGCCGCCTGCTGTGTGCGAAGATGAACAAACCCGGCTCTACTGGAATCGAAAAATTATAACTGATAGACCGATAAGTAATAATATACCGGATATCGTGCTCACTCTAAAAAATGAAAACAAACATACATAGTAGATTTTCGCTGTGCCATTGGGAGCCAACCTAGAAAAGACACATGGACAAAAAATCAATAAATACCTACCCCTGAGCGATTGAAATCGCCAAATGGGGACATGGAAACAGTAGTCATCATCCCATGTGATCGGAGAAGCAACGGAGAATACCTAAAAAATTAAAAACATCACTGCAACAACTAGGATTACCGTTTGAATTATACTTACCTATGCAAAAGTCGGTCGTCTTGGACACATGCAGTGTAGTCCGTAGGGTTTTAGGCGGTAACTAGAACAAGATGTTTTAACATCAGCATCTAACGGGCCATCTTGATTCAATACCGATGTGCCAGCGTTCTTAGCCCAGGGAAGCATGTGAATCAGTTAGATGATTAACGAATAATAATTATAAATATATTATAATAAAATAATATAATCATAATCATAATAACAATAATAATAATCAGAATATATAATAATTATAATAATAATAATACAATAATTATAATAATAATAATAATATTAATAATAATAATAATAATCATAATAATAATAATTGTAATAGTAATAATTACAATAATTATAATAATAATAATAATAATAATATAATTATAATAATATTAATAATTATAATATAATGATAATTATAATAATTATAATAATAATACTAATAATAATTACAATAATAATAACAATAATAATAATTATAATAATAATTACAATAATTATATTAATAATATTAAATAATAGTAATAATAAGAATAGTAATTAATAAGAATAATAATAATAATAATTACAAATATTATAATAACAATAATTTTTTTTTTTTTTTTTTTTTTTTTTTTTTTTTTTTTTATATCGAAACAGCCGCGCAGGCAGAAGCCTAAATGCCGGAACACCGCGGCTGCTATGATGATCCCAAAGAAATTTTGTTAACACGATTTTTGACTGCCTAAGGTTAGTAGAACTGGGAAAAGCTTCCTCCCGTAGTTTGTTCCACAATCTAGATACCCTCGGGATAAAGGAGCGGTCGTCGGCCAGTTCTGGATGTACGAAGTTTGACACGGTTAGGATGGGACGCCGAAGTCAGCGGGTCTGTCTGGCAGGCACATCGCGCGGCGGGCATCATGGAAGAGAGCTCTGAGGAGCAAAGCCCGTTGGTGTAGCGATAGAAAAGAGCTAGATCGCCGACGGCCCGCCGGTGCGAAAGAGTCCCGAGACTGTCTGTTAGAGAAGAGTCATCGATCAGTCGGACCGCCCTCCTCTGGACAGCAATCGAGCATGGACAATGTAGTCGGGGCGGCAGCACCCCAAATGTGTGAGCAATACTCGAGGCTAGGCCTTATCTGGGCCTTGTATAGAGTGAGAAGGTCATGCGGAGAAAAGTACTTCTTATAGCCCTAAACAAATAGCCTAGCTTTTTCCCAGCAGCTGCAGCTATTGAAGAGATGTGTTCGTGCCAGATCAGGTCCTCGGTGATCTGGACTCCGACCAACCGAAATCGAATGGCTCTTTGGTAGAACTCGACCGTCCATCGAAACTGTATGAGCGCTAATTCGCTTTTTGTCGTCAAAGTACAGTACTGTGTTTTGGAAGCATTGAACTGTACAAGATTGTTGCGTCCCCAAGCAGTGATAGCCTCCAGGTCTCTGGCAGGGAAGAAGTCGTCGCTAGTCTTCTTTTTTTCCAGCTCAGCGGCAGAGATCGGCTTGTCACTCTGAATTCCTGCATGTAGAGTGCTGTCATCAGCGAAGCTGTGGATTGGGTTGATCGTGCAGGAAAGGAGGTCGTTGATATGTAAGAGAAACGTGTTGGAGCCAAAACCGATCCCTGGGGAACACCCGCGTTGACGTTGTGGGATGAAGAAGGAGAATCCGTCAATTACGACGGATATCTTGCGGCCAGAGATAAAGTCAGCACCCATCTGCAAAGCTTTTCTGGGAGGCCGTAGGATGGAAGTTTGCTCAAGAGGGCAGCGTGCCACAGCTGATCGAACGCTTTCGTGATGTCAAGAGCAACGACATGAGCCTCACCATGAGACTGGATGAGTTTACTCCACAGTTGCGTGACGTAAGCTAGGAGGTCCCCTGTGGATCGTTGGTGCCGGAAACCGTACTGCCTGTCGCTAATCAACCTGTGACGTTCGAGGTAGTCCAGAAGCTCGCGATTTATACACCTCTCCATTACTTTACTTATAACAGAAAGCAGAGCTATAGGCCTGTAGTTGTAAGGGTCGGTTTTAGATCCTTTTTTTGGGATGGGCTGTACATGAGCAAATTTCCAGTTTTCTGGGAAGGTGCCGGATTCATAAGATATCTGGAAGAGACGCGAAAGAACGGAGCAGCTCAGGCACATCTCTTCAGTACAATGGCAGGAATCAGTCCGGACCAGAAGCTTTGTTGATGTCGAGCGACAGAGCACTCGTCTTACGGTCTTATGCCTGAATGTTACCTCCCGCATAGTGTGGGGAACCCTTTGAATTGACGGCACTTGGGCGTTGGTGGGGACGTCCATGGTGGAGTTGGCAGCAAAGATCTTGGCTAGCACTTCCGCCTTGGCCTTTGAGTCGAATACAATAGTTCCATCCTGGCACGTAAGTGGTGGAAGGCTACTGTGTGAGAAGTTCTTTTCAATCTGCTTGGCCAGCGTCCAGAAAGACCGACTGCCATTGCGCTGCGACATTACCCTGTGCCTAACTTTTATCATGCTGGGTTTTGGCATTGCGAACCGCTTCGTTATATTTGTTTCTGGACTCGACGTCGGCTTGTCTTTCTCTACAGTGGGGTTTTGTAAGTAGGTTCTGTGGGCCTTGATCTTCTGGGCGAGCAGTGTCACACGATTTGTTGAACCAGCCGTTGGACCCTGGTTTAGGAGCTTTCACTGTGTGAGGGATGTATTCCTCCATTCCGACGTGGATAATTTCGGTTATTGAAGAACAGACAGTCGACGCATCCGCGTCAGTGAAACAGACATCTCTCCAAGGAAAGCTAGAGAAGAAGTCTCTGAGCCCCTCCCAGTCGGCATGTCCGTAATGCCAAGTTTTGCGGCCTGTGCGAGTTTCTGCGGCCACAGCGGCTTCTGACCGAAACCTAACCTCCACAACACCGTGATCTGAGTTACCCAGGGGGGACAGGACGGCAGTGCTGTAAGGGGCAGGATGCGTGGTCAGAA